AGGCCCAGCCTGAGCACTGAAACATACAAGTGTGTAAGGACACATCTCTTGCAGTATCAGTGAAAAATTTAGGCCAGAGTGAATTTTCCAGGCACATGAAGCACTGTCAGTGAGAACACTGAGATCCTAAGTCTTTGTTCCAGAATCCTTCACTCCTGTGCTCAAGTGCTCTAGCTTTTCCCTGTCCTTGGTAAAAAGTGTGTTATTTCAACTGCTTAGCAGAGTGTGGTAACCGCTTTTCACCCCAAAATTAGGTTTCCTCCAGAGGGAGAGCCACAGAATAAGTACTGCTGAGGTTTTTGGGCTCCCCTTTTTACCACCTTGAAAAGTTAATGCTAGCCAGAGATCCTCAGTAGCCTGCTAACATGCCATGCCTCCTAGAACTGGAATGGCCTTTAGAACACAGAATGTAAGAGGTCGGGGGGCCTTTCAACAGCGGCTAGATCATGTCCTCTACTTTATGGATAAGGAAGCTGAAGTGTCTAAGGTCACACAGCAAGGAAGAGGTAGAGCTGCTTTTGGAGGATGACGACAGTGACCTTAATTGGTTGGAATAAAGACATGGGAGAAAATCCTGAGTTCCCTGAGCTGGCCCTGCAATGCTCTTCTTCTCCTGAGCACTGTTTGCCAAGCTTCTGACTCCTGCAGCAGGGCTTTTTTCCCTATGATCTGCCCATCTGAAATTAGACAATAGAATCTGGGGGTCACCTGGACCAGCAGTATCTTAAAAGGGCAGAAGTTGCTTCTAAGTGGGATGTACTATGAAAGCTAGCCTGCAGTGTTAACCCCAAGAACTCTTGTCATCCATCTGCCCCCGGCCCTCCGACTCCCCCACCACTACCCCACCACCCCGTAACCAGAATAAGAAATTCAGAATAGGCCACGTGAAAAGGAAATGTCAGTTTTCCCCATAACCCTTATTACTACCTCTCCTGTCTTAGCTACCTATAGGAAGACATGACTATGAGTGAGTAGAGCTGGTAATACAGGGCATCCTGGATTGGGAGGGAGGATACCTCCTCTACAGCCCTTTGTTTCTGACTCTTTGGCATCCAAAATCAGAAGCTGGATTGAGAGGAGGGGAGTAGGTCTGAAAGCCTTTCCTTTGCCAGAGTTGGGTTGGGAGGAACCTCTAGCTGGGGTTCTGTACCTATGAGGGGTCTTTATTCTAGTGCACAGTGACTTGGGAATAGGGTCCCTTCTGTCTACCCCAATTTTTCAGAAAAACTATGGTGACAGAACTCCAGCAGCATGCCTCTGACAAATGGCACATTAAAACAAAATGGCTTTTCCAAAACAGTCCATTTCTTCCTGCATGCCCTTTCCCAACTGTCTTTTTCATGGCTTTCTACCTCCTGCCCCTCTAGACGACACTCTCTCCTATTTGTTTGTTTCTCTTCACTTTACTCTGTCCATACTAATTTCTCTACACATCCTCCTCCTTCTCTTACCTTTTTACCTCCACTACTCTGTATCTAAAATGCTGAAGTGACTGACTTCGTGAGAGGGAAAACTGTAAAATAAATAAAGCAAGATTCAAAGTAGCTAAACAAGGATGATCTTTTTTCTGTATTAAATCTCTCCTTTATACACATTTTCATCTGTTTGGTTCAACACGTATACATTTAAGGGTAAGGACTGCCCTGTTTGAGGCTGTCATCTTTAGTGCCAAGCATACCTTGGTGATGGCTAAATACTGACTTTCTTGGTCAACAACTCATTGTCCAACCTGACTTGGAAAAGGGTTTTGAATCTTGATCAGGAAATTATCTATTTCACTGGTGGTATCCAAAACTTATGGCTGTTTTCTGTTTTGTCAGAGCATGAAGGGATGCCCACCCCCAGCTCCACTTTTTGGGGATGATGACGATGATGATGACCTTGACTGGCTGGGATGAAGACTTGAGAGATAGTACAGAGGTCTTTCATTCTGCCCTGCTCTGCCTTTCTCTTTCTGAGCACTGTTTTGCACAGCTGACCCTGGTTCTGGGTGGGCAACAGGGTAAGGTCCAGAATTTCTTAACCCTCTCCGGAGCTGAATTTTCTGGCCCATCCCAGTAAGCATTGGGAAAGCATCCTTCCATCCAGGGGTATCCCCCTAGTGTCTCGTGCTGCTGGTGCGGAAAGCAGCCTTTGGCATTTTACTGTCCACACACATCTTTTCTAAGTAAACAAATTGAACTCTGATCTCCAGCAACTCCTTTGAGATAGTCCTGTGATATCATCTTCCACTAGGAGATGCTAATATAGCTCCTAGTCCTTTTTTTTTTTCTCCTGGGCAGAAACTTTACAAAGTATCTACTGAGAACCAAATTCTGAGCTCTGCACCAGAAAGCATTTCCCAGTGACAAAGCCTCATAACACTCTGCCCTGATCATTTGCTGTTGAAAAGGAACATGGCTTTGCCCTTGGAATTTTGTCTCACCAAAAGTGCTGCTGCTGTTGGCCATTGGAATGGTTGGACTCTGATCTCCTCCTGTCACACTGCCTTAGTGAGTTTGTCCTTTCTGTAAGTAAGTCCAGAGCTGAAGTTGGTAGGCACTGTGCATAGCAGTGCCTAGTGGTGTACAGGAGCACAGCCTTGGAGAGAAAGAATTGAAACCTCAGAAGAATTGCTTTTCCTGTGTTGGAGGACCTCTGATCACCTCTCTTGCCCAGTCCTAAAACCAGCCAGTCACTCACCATGTGAGTTAGCTTGTCCTCATCCCTGCCTTGTTAATGTGCTTCATTCAACCCACTGCTATGTTACGAAGCCTTCTCCTTGCTGATTCTGAGATGGAGCCAAATAGGACTTTGGCCTGTCCGGTGAGCATCACCATACTAATCTGTGACCTTAAGACCTGTTACTGACAACACATAGGTAACTGCCCCCCACCCCATGGAAATCCTCTATCCAGTGCAATGGACTTCATCTAGCTGTCCACCTTCTTACATTAGGAGTTCAGTGCTAGGCTCTCATATATGTCTTTTTCTCTGCCTTAATTCTGATGTTATATATTAATGAATATTCAAAATTAACAAACACAAAATAAAAGTCAGCAATGGAACTCGGTCTCTGAACGCTCCGGGATGAAATCAACTTTGTTTCTAAGGGTTTTACCCGAGAAGTATGCACTACTCTCTGAAGGAATTAAGTGCTGGGGGGACAAAATTGGTCAGGAGCCAATTCTTAAATTCTTTGCAAACCAGGTAATTTTAAACTGGTTATTTTTGTTTTCTTTTTTCCTTTGGAAATCCATGGGATTACTCAGTTTTGTGTTTTTAGGATAACTCACATCTGAGTAGATTGTTCCAGGTTCTCTGCATTCAAAGAAAAGGGAGAGATTTCCATTTTCCCCTGAACCAGTGGGCCTTATTGTGCACAGTGCCTTGCATATAGTAGGACGTTAATAAATGTTTAACTGTTGAATGAATAACTGAAGCCAAGAGCATCTTGGTATCTGAGGCTCATGACCAGATATGTGCAAAAATATGTCCAGAGCTCATTACCTATTGCAAAAAATGTAAATGATGGAATAGTATTTCATTGAATTTTAGCCCATAGGCCATCTACCATAATCTTCCTTCTCCAGTGCAAACTCATTTCAGTGAACCTGACAGTGGCTGCAGAAGAGAGGGTAAAGCTAGAGGGCCCCATAGCTCTCTTCTCAATTGTTGCATTTCCTGGACCACTGACCAGTTTGGGTTCAGCTTGGGCTCCAGGTGGTCTGGACAGAGCCAGAAACTGGAGGTGAAAATAGATCGATAACTAGTTTCTTATTCAAGATACCTTACATGGACCATGCAACCAGCATGGGGCCCACAGCTATAGGGCTTTAAAAAGGAGAATTTTAATTAAAATGAAAACTCTGATAGTAAACTCTGATTTCTGTGTTTCCCAAAAGCTGCAGCTGTTCTTGTACCAGTTGAAGGTGGTATGCATAACAGCTTGAGGGGCCAAATTCTTTCCCACCCCCTTACTGCCCCTAAACTTTTCCTCCCCTGTCTAAGTAATGGTCTTTTATGTGCTGTGCTGGTTGCAGTATGAATGAGAGTTATTAGTCCCTGCCCTCTGAGGGTATAAAATGAGAAGTCAACAACATTGCTAGAGAGAAACTTTATAAAGAGACGTGGAAAAACATCGAAATGATTATAAATGAAATAAAATATTTGCAGTATGAACAAGCATCAGTGTATTGTTTTATATGATGGAGATTACAAATCTTGACCGTTTCTGCAATTGCTGCTGCCTCTAATCCTGTAGTAAGAATTGGAACGAGCCCTTTGAGAGGGCCAGTTAACCTCAAACCCGTTTTCTAGCCAATAGTTTCAATTTTCTCCACATGTGATTTTTTTTAAGCTGCCCCCAAAGATCTACATGGATCTTTCCACAGCAAATAGTCTGAAGAACAGAAGTCTCCAAAAATAATGCTGGCAAGTATGTTTAGGGGGGAAGTATGACAAAAGCTTGAAGGAATCCCAAGAGATTCTGACTTGTTGCTGCTTCTCCGACCTTATCTCCTGCTGCTCTCCAAAAGCCATTGCCACCTGGCATATTCCCCCTAGCAGGCACCTAGCCTCCTGCCCAAGGTCACACTATTAATGAAAAGCTGGGATTCAATCCTAGGTTTTCTGATTCCAGATCTGTTAGATTTCCATTTCTTCCCCAGGTGTCAATATGTGTTTATTGACTAATCCAAGGGGTACAATAGACCTCTGCCCCTTCCCCTAAAGTGACTGGACACAACCCTCTCTAACTCCTTTGTCCTTGTTCCACACATGCTGATGTGACTGCCCCTCCCCAGGGATAACTGCTAGCAATGGTACCAAGAATCCTGGCTCTGGCATCAAGACCAGGGTTCAAATCCTGCTTCTGGCACTGACCTTGTGACCTGGGCAAGCCCCTTCATCTCCCTGTTAATACTGATGACCTTGGACTAGGTGGCTTTTTAGTCTTTTACAGTTTAGTGTGACTGCTCCCAGGTAGTCACATTTTGGAATAAGAAACCTTAAGCCAAAAATACTGATTCCTAATGATTTCAAATGTTTAATTATTAAAATTTTTAATTAATAATTATTCGACAGAAAACCAAAGCATTGGGGGGCAGGGTTGTGACTGACTTGTATTGGTATTCCTGAAGTCCCATCATACCAGTAACCTGACCAGTATTGCCTAGTTACCTGTATGTAAGTCTGGCTCTGTTGTCAAATACAACTTTCCAGCCCCATCTGCCCTCCTGCCCCTTGGGAACCATGATAAAGTCAAGAAGGGAGATGGAGGTTCATTTGTGCCCTATAATCCGTAGATAGTAGCATTAAGCTGCTGGATCAAAAGACTGATGTCACAGCAGCTTCTAGAGACATCTCATCAGAACTCATTTCTTCTTCCTAAACGACATTCATCCCTGTTCTGCTGACCCTCAGGAAGTAGAGAGACCCAGGGAAAGCCTTAAGTAGGTAGACCAGCTAGACAGCTGAAATTCCATTCATTTAACAAAATAAATTTCATTACTTGAGATGAATCCACTGGTCTAAGATTTTCTTTTATGATAGTCTTACCGTTCATTATTTCTATCCCTTCTCCCTCCTCTTCTGTTGCTTCCACAGCTACTATCTTTTTTTTGTTCGCCACACTCTTCCCCAAAATGGCATAATCAAAGTAACATTTTTTTAATCCACCTTTTTTTAAATGAATTTAACTAGATGCTAAAATATAAATTACATTTTTATTTAGACCATAAATTCCTTCAGGGCAGGAATAAATGGCTTAGGTTTGATTTAATCTTTGTCCAACAGCAGACTAGGATGCTTTAATGAATATTTTAAGTGAATATCCAGTGTGTTTTCTCTGCCAGGTCAGTCACAGGGTAAAGAGAGATAGTGAAGAAAAATGAGATCTTGAAGGTTATTAAATGACACTGACCTTTTTCTGAATTAGAAAAGAATTGGAATAAGATGACAGAAAGGGAGGTCATCAATATCTATCCAGACAAATAAGGCCACTAGCAAAGCTAGATCTATCCTGCTTCCCTGGTACAACCTCACATTCTCCATCTAAGCAGCAAGGAGGTAGTGCTGTCCAGTGGAAGGAGCCCTGCCTGAGCCAGGAGCTCTGGGTAACATTCCTGCATCTGCCACCGACAGACCATGTGCAGTTGCTAAAGTTAACTCTAGAAGCCTAGAGTCAGTCATTTCAAGGCACAGGTGAATGCCGGTGGATTCTGCTGCACTTGAGATCCAGCTCCTTCAGACCTTTGGGTGTCCCCATCCCCTTCAGGCTCTTCAGTCCTCAAAACGTCTCCTTCGGCATCATTTAACTTAATTGGTTCATTGTGTTCCCTCAGAAAAAGAAGGAAATGGATCACAGATTTGGAGCTGGAAGATACTTGACAGATTTAATCTAACCCATTCCTTTTATTTTACAGATGGGTAAACTGAGGCCCAAAGTGGGAAAATGACAAAGCAACTAAGTATCAGAGCCAGGATTCAAACTCAAGTACTCCACTACCTGGGCACCATCTACACCACCATGCTTTGAATCACTATGAATATGATGGGAGAGTGTTCCATTTAAAAACCTTATTTGTTCTAACAATACCCAAGGCAGGTTACCTGGGGGCTTGGGGGGCCGGGGCTGGGGAAGGAGGAATGGAGGAAATGAATCTCAGGTCAGTCCACCCACACACACACACACACACACACACACACACACACACACACACACACACGACCTAGTTTCAATTTTCTAGCATTCCTAAGGCAGAGAGGTGAGTTTGAAATGCTGGTATATCCCCTATTCCCACAGACAGAGGAAGGCAGTTAACCCTGCATGACTTGTTCCATTGGAACTAAGGCACAATACGGAGGAGGGAGGAGAGCATGTCTGGAGCCCTGCCCCTCCCTCCATCCCTTTTGAAATAGTCTTCCTTCCTTCCCAAGTCAGGAAATACATGAGTAGGTTACACGATCAGCAATGTCATCAGCACTTGGGCTCCACTGGCTCCCCTCTCCTTCCCTCCGGCTTTTGCATAGTCTAGGCAAGGTTTTATTTAGCCAGAACCACCACCAGAGGTCCTCAGTAAACACCATTGGTGGCCATTGTGGCCAGCCCAAGGAAGGAGGGCACATGTGCCCCCCAGGCCCTCTGTACCTCAAACTAAGAGGCCACAGAAGGAGGAAGATAAGGGAGATGTAAAACAACTGTCGTGAGAGTGCCTGCTTCTGAATATGGTGGGGTTTTCATCACTAAGTAAAGAAGAGAAGGTACTCTCCAACTCGTCGAGCCTGAACAACCATCCAGCAGCCTCGGAGCCCATCCTGCCCTCTATCCCACACTGAGGAGTGGGTAGGCCAAGTAGTAACCAATAGCTAGGCCCAGGATCACGCCAAGGAAAATCCAAGTGTTGTAGGACATCACAGCCAGCATCACAAAGTAGCCAATGACCACCTGGACGACATGTAACAGAGACTGGCCCAAGTGACTCAGAAGCAACCTAGATACACAAGATAACTGAGTTAGAGAAGGATGAAGTGACAGATGGGGATGGGGGGCGAGGGGGTTGGATTCAGGACTGGAAAGTAAAGCTATATGGTAAAAAGTGGCCTTAGAGAGGCAACCTGTTCTAGTGGGAAGAAGAGTGAATTTCTGTTCAGAAGACTGGGTTCAAACTGTGTGACTCTGACCTAGTCATGTCACTCTCCGTTTCCTCGTCTGTAAAATGGAGATGATGATATTGCCCACTTCATTTAGTTGATGTGAAAGCACTTAATAACCACAAAGCACCACATAAATGCAAGTAGTAGTATTAGATATTGTGAAATGCAAGCAAAGGTACATTGTGTACCACTAATGGCTGGCCTGTGAAAGCCAGCTGTGCTTGGGAAAAGTAAATCCCACCAGGAGGCTGAAGAGCATTCTATTCACCATATGGAGACTCTCACACCATAGTTCTTCTATGCCTAAAGGCAGGTGGGAAGATAGGACAATATTCAATTTGGGGAGGCCAATCAGAGAGATTAGGAGGGCCCTGGATTGGGCTGTTAGGCTAAGAAAGCCCCAGTACTTGCTGCCTGAGGTGGGTTTAGAGCTGAAGTGAGAACTCAGAGCACTTTTGCCTGGGCCTTCTGGGTTGGTCCAATGCTTCCATGCCCCATCCATCCATCAGTTACCTGGTTCGGTCACTGTTGGCCTGAGCTGACCCAGAGCTTGTAGACTCCTGGTCCATACACTCCATCAGCTGCTGGTTGTCGTTTGGGGGATGGCTGTGCAGGGACCAGTGGAACAACTTTACTTTGCCAACCTTGATGCTTTCGTACAATACGGCCAAAAGGAGGACCACCAGCACAGAAACAGCCATGCCTGCAGAAGGAAGTCCAGCTCCAGAGACCCCAACACAGCCCAGACAACTCCCCAAGGGGCACATGTGGTTCCAGAGATGATTCCCGTACCAGAGACTGATCTCAAGAACTATGCTTCTCTCCACTTCCTCTGAACCTGACCCGTGCTCCCCACACACATCCTTCCTGCCTAGGGTCAGAACATCCTAAAATCCCAGAATTAGACTTGAGATTATCTAATCTAAACCCTTTATTTTACCAGTGACAGAATTGAGGCCCAGAGGGGAAATGACCTATTCCAGGTCACATAGGCAATAATGGGGGCATCTAGGTGGCACAGTGGATAGAGCTCCAGCCTTGAAGTCAGCCTGAATTCAAATCTGGCCTCAGACACTTGACACTTACTAGCTGTGTGACCCTGGGCAAGTCACTTAACCCTGATTGCCTCACCCCCCCCCAAAAAAAGACAATAATAAGACCACATAGGTAATAATGACAACTGCATGAATATAGCACTTTGTCCCCCCAACAACCCAGTTAGGTAAGTAGTGAAAGTATTACATTTTGGAGATGAGAAAATAGAGCCTCTAAGAGGTTAAATGATTGGCCTGTAAGCAATAGAAGCCAATGAATGGATGAGGTGGGATTCAAACCTAGTTCTCCTGGCTCTAGGTCCGGCCCTCCTGCATGGTAATTATATTATATTATATTAATTATATTATATTATATTACATTACATTATATTATATTATATTATATCATATCATATCATATTATATCATATCATTATATTATATCATATCGTATTATATCATATCATATCGTATTATATCATATCATATCGTATTATATTGTATCATATCGTATTATATCATATGTTATATCATATCATATCATATCATATCATATTATATTATATTATATATTAGAGTTACCTAGCGTGGTAACTATTGAGTAACAGAGCCAGCAAGACTTCTGGCTCTCTATCCAGAGCTCTTTCTACGTCATCCCATTGCGCTTTGCCCCTTATGGTCATGCTAGACTTCCCTTGGCTTCCACAAAACTGTCCTTCAAAGGCAGCCTGATGCAGTAGAAGAAGCAGTGACGTAAAAGCAGTACAATCAGGCAGAATTGTCAACATACTAACTACAACTATAGAAGAAAGGGGGAGAGGGGAAGAAGGAAGGAAAACAGGATCAAAGGTGGCAGAATTCTGAGAAGCCTGGGGGGTGGGGAGGGGGACAGGATGACACACAGACCCAAAGTATCTTATTGGTATCTTCATAGCTTGTTCACTCTCTTGTTCCTGTTTTTTCTAATGCTAGGGCTTGGTCTCATGTTTTGTATTTCTGTGTGTTTATTTGGACTGTAGTTGTAGCTGATGATGGTTTTTTAAAAGGGGAAAGTGCACGGACAGAGAGGGAGAGAAACCTAGATTCCAATCCTGGCCCTGCCACTAACTAGCTGTGTTATGTTGGACAAGTCACTAAACTCTGAGCCTCAATTTCTTCATCTATAAAATGGGGTAGTAATTCCTCCTCTGCCTCTCTTACACGCTTGTTCTGATGATGAAATTAAGGAATGAACATAGAAACACACTGGAAGCTGTTACATACATCATTCATATAAGGGGCCGTTCTTCCTATCACCATCTCCTCTCCACTCTGGACATTTTCTCTGGGGACCAGGCTGGGTTCAGATGGTAGAAAACAGCCTCATGAAAGACCAGTGTGGGAATTTGTTTTGCTTGTCTATTTGACTCTGCATAATAGTTACAGGGGTTTTCTTTTTCCTTTTTTTTCCACTGGGGGCACTGAGTAGAAGAGAAAATAGATTTTTATTGATAGAAAAAAAATTAAATTTAAATGTTCAAAATAATGCTATGACTGGGAAGGCTGTTCTGTGCTCCTTTCTGCACTGTACTGGGAGGGGCTATCCTGATGTCCCTGTCCTAGTTAGGCCAAAGGCCTAAAATCTGGTTTCTCTAAGACATTCAGGATATTGCACAAAGGGCACTCTACCTTATGACCCTCAGTTGCACTTCCCCTCAAGAGCCTTCATAGAGCAGAAAGGGACCTTAATGACTATTAAGTCCAACCTCATTTTATAGATGAGGAAATGAAAGCACAGAGAGATCAAATTATTTGCTCAATACTATGCCGAAAGGGCTATAAAACTATGCATACCCTCTGACCCAGCAATAGCACTTCTAGGGCTGTATCCCAAAGAGATCACACAAATAGGAAAAGGACCTACATGTACAGAAATATTTATAGCAGCTTTTTCTGTGGTGGCAAAGAATTGGAAATTGAGGGGATGCCCATCAATTGGGGAATGGCTGAGCAAGTTGTGATATATGAATGTAATGGAATACTATTGTGCTATAAGAAATGATGAGTATTCGGACTTCAGAAAAACCTGGAAAGACTTGTATGGACTGATGCTGAGTGAAGTGAGCAGAACCAGAAGAACGTTGTACACAGTAACAGCCACATTGTGCAATGACTAACTTTGACAGACTTAGCTCTTCTCAGCAATGCAAGGATCTAAGACATCTCCAAAGGTCTCATGATGGAAAATGCTATCCACATCCAGAGAAAGAACTGTGGATTATGAATGCAGATCAAAGCATACTATTTGCTATTTTTTTCTTCTGTTTTGTTTTGTTTCCTCTTTCTGGTGGTTCCTCCTATTGGTTCTAATTCTTCCTTACAACATCACTAACGTGAAAATATGTTTAATAGGAATGTATATGTATAGCCTATATCAGATTGCAAGCCGTCTTGGGAAGGGTGGTAGGGAGGGAGGGGGAGAAAAATTTAAAACTCAAAAGCTTATGAAAGTGATTGCTGAAAACTAAAAAAAAATTAATAAAAAATTTTAAAAATTATTTGCTCAATGTCACACAGGTAGCAATTGAGTGAGGCAGGATTTGACCCCAAGTCCACTATGCCATGCCAGGAGTCATCTTATTCAGGCCCCTGAGCACACTTGGAAGACGCAGCCCCTCTACCCAGCCAGGATGCTCGCGTTGATTCCATATATCTTGCAGCAAGTACAGAAAGGCTTGGAAGGAGAAGCCAAATGCCCAAAGAAGCTACACACTGGCGGTAGCCCATAAAAAAACCCAAAAAACTAAGAGCTCACCATCCCCACTTTTTAAAAGCTTGTAATTGCTACATCTGTTTTATATACAAGGTTTAACAAATGCTCATTGAAGTATTTAAGCCCTCTGGGCTCAGATAAGAGAAGCTAACCTTAAAAGGCCAGGCTTAATTTTCTCATCTGTAAAATGGGAATGTAAAATAGGACCTACTTCATTTTCACAGGGTTGCTGAGAGGATTGAATAAGATGTTGGCAGAGGGCTTGGCTTGCCTATGGATGATATTTTATGAAGATATGTAAGTTAACAGTTTAAGATTAAATGAAAAGTCTTCTCAAAATTAGGATTGACTTGTACACCATACATAAATGCCTGCCAGCCTGGAACTGCAGCAGCTACCAACACATGAGTCCTGAATGGAGAGTCAGGACAGCTGGCTTCTCCACGGGGAAGTAGGCTTTAGAGCTGGAGGAGGACAGGGAGGACATCTTAAAGTCCAACCCACACATTTCAGGAAACTGGGACTCAGAATTTAATGTCTTGGCCAAGTTCCTAAAACTAGTAAGCAGCAAAACCTGGATGTGACCCTAGTGACTCAGTAGATAGAGTACTAGGCCTTGAGTCAGGAAACTCTTCTTCCTGAGTTCAAATCCAGCCTCAGACACTTACTAGTTGTGTGACCCTGACCAAGTCACTTAACCCTGCTTGCCTCAGTTTCCTAATCTGTAAAACGAGCTGGAGAAGGAAATGGCAAACCACTCCAGCGTCTCTGCCAAGAAAGCCCCAAATGGGGTCATGAAGAGTCAAACACAACTGAAATGACTCAACAACAATAACAAACTCCATATATGACTAATAACTATAACTTGTCACTTTTAGGAAGTATAGTGGATGGAGTGTTGGATTTAGAGTCAGGAAGACCCAAGTTCAAATCCTCCCTCAGACGCTTCCTAGTTGTGTGGTCCTGGGCAAGTTACTTAACTTTTGTCTGCCTCAGTTTTCTCGTCTGGAAAAAGGGGATAATAGTAATAGCACCTGTCTCCCAGGGTTGTTGTGAGGCTCAAACTTTTCTCAAACCTTAGAGGGCTATTTAGATGCTAGCTATTCTCCTGGCTATTAGTTAGGTGTGCAAATCTCCTTCTCAACATCCCCATTGGAGCCCCATTTTACTGAGGAGGAAACCAAAGCCCAAATGACTTGCCAACAGTCAGAGAGATGGTCAGCAAGTGTCTGAATTGGGTTGTGAACTCAGGTCCCTTGAATCTATATCTAAATGATGACAGGACCGGGTTCTTGTGAGGACAAAATGAAATGACATGTGTGAAATCAATTTGAAAAATTGTAGAGTGCTAGTCTCTGTGAGGCGTCACATGTATTGCGAGTAGGTCAAATTTCAGTTTTCATGAAGAGCAATTTAGATATGCCTGAATATCCCGGCAATAGGTCATGATGGATGAGCACACGGGTTCTCTAGTGCCCTGAGCCCAGCAGAGGAGGAAGGGAGCGAGGGTAGGAGGGAGGGAGACAGGGGCTTCACACTTTTACCGGCTGGACTGTGGACCCTCCAGAAATCAAAGAGGAGCTCCACCTCACTGGAGAAGATGAAATGCATCTGAAAGGAAGGGAAAGAAAAAGTCAAGGGCAGCCTCCTGGAAAAACAAATGCTGTTTTATTTAAAAGTTAAATCAACTTGCCTGGATCCAAGGGAGGCATACCTAACAGTTTCTGACAAATACACCTATTCATAAATCAAGCATGAACCTGATTTTGTGCTGTGCCAGTTCCTGAGGGCTGGGGATTTCCTGCTTCTGCAGCCAGGCAGCAGAGAATTGGGAGTCAGAAAACCAGGGCTCAGACCCAGGCTCTGCTATTTATTACCTGTGTGACCTGAAGAAAATCACTTAACCTTTCTGAGCCTCCGATTTCTCACCTGAGAATGAGGGGGATTAGAGGATATTATTCCTAAAGGCAATGCCAGCTCTAAATCCTAGCACTATGAGATACAGAATCAAGAGAACACTATTACAGTTGAAAAGTTCAGGAAATATTTTGGGGACTGAGAGGTAATTTTTTTTTCTAGCTTGCCCACCAGTTGATAAGCATCTGTGTGCCAGGTACAGTGAGAAGCACTGGGGAGGACACAAAGAAAGGGCAAAAGACAGTCCTTGCCTTTGAGGAGCTCACAGTCTAAGAGGAGAGATAACATGCAAACAACTTTGTACGAACAAGCTATATGCAGCATACTTTAGAAATCATCAACAGAGGAAAGGCACTAGAATTAAGAGAAATCGGGAAGGGCTTCCCGTAGGCGGAGAGATTTTATCTGGGGCTTATAGGAAGCTGTTAGACAGAGATGAGGAGGAAGAGCATTCCAGCCATGGGGGACAACCAGAGCCGACAGATGGAGTGTCTTGTTCAAGACACCCCAAGACACTCACTGGAGTGCAGAGTAGGCGGGTGGGTGGACTGAGTGGGGAGGGTGATGGGAGATGTGAGAAGACTAGAAAGGTGGGAGGAGGGGCAGGTGAGGAAGGGTTTTGAACCCCAGACAGTGGATCTGTAACTTGATCCTGGAGATGAGGAAGTGTCACTGCAGTTTACTGAATTAGGGAGGTGACATGGTCAGATCTAAACCTTAGGAAGATCATTTTGATAGCAAAGTGAAAGATGAACTGGAGTGGGGAGAGACTTGTGGCAGGAAAACCAGCTCCGAGCTCTTCATTGCCATAGTTCAGGTGTGAGGGGTGAGGATTTGGACAGAGGCTTCAGTTTCCTCATCTGTAAAATTATCTGGAATAATAGCAAGCGCCTACCTCACAGGATCCAATTAGATAATGTCTGTAAATCACTTTGCAAACCTCAAAGCTCCATATAAACACTAGCCATTATTATTATTCAGGTCTGCAGAACACTTAACCTAATTATCTCTTTCAATCCTCACAGCAACCCCTGTGAAATAAATATTATAGTTATTATTATCATCTACATTTTACAGATTAGAAAGTTGAGGCCCAGAGAGGTAAGTGATTCACACAACTATCAGGGGTAGGATTTAAATGGAGGTCCTTGGACTCCCAGTCCATCATATTTCTGCTAAACCATACTATTTCTTATGAATGCATGCTTGTTGAATGCATTCAACCAGCTGTGGAACACAGGACACTCCTTTCTATTTCTGGGCCTCAGTTTTCCCATTTGTAAAACAAGGGGGTTAAACTTGGTGATTTCCAAGATCCCCTCCAGATCTGCAGCCGCCTTAGTCTTGTGATCTGGTCCCAATGCCAAGGATATTTTTTTCCCCCCACAAGTACTTATTAAGCCATTCGGCTAAGTGATTAGGATGCAAAGATCGAAAGTGACATTCCAAGCCTTCAAAGAGTTTAAATGTTTGTTGCTGGTTTTTCCCCCTCAAACCCATTAGCTCAATACTTTCTTGGTGGGGGGTTAAATTGCAGATAGTGGAATGAGAGCCAGCATTTTTGTGTACTTCTCCTAACACACCACCTCCATGACAACCAAAAAATGGGCTAAACTGAATTCTGACAGGGAAAGACAAGAAAATACTTTCTTTTTAAAAGTAATTCAATTGTTTCTGCAATCAGCCAAAAAGTCACCTTCTCTCCTTTCCATACCACCTGTGGCTAAGAAAAAAAGACCAAAAAAACACCTATTACAAGCATGAATAATCAAGCCTAGCAAATATCCACAGTCGCCATGTCCAAAAAAAGATGATCTCATCTTGCGTGAGACTTGTACTTCTCTATCACGGAGTGATGTCAGGGATTCTGGAGATGGAGAGGGAGCTGCCGGGCAGGGCCACGGCCCATCAAGCAAATGCTGAGTCCCACCTAATCCCGGGTGAGATGCTTCCCCAAAACAGGGGCTCAGGCCACTCACTGAGTGCTGCTGCCCACTTTGCTCAGCCCTCCGCTCCTCCTGGAGCCATTGAGCACAACCTGACACAGTCATAGAAGGCTGGAGCTAGGAGTCCTTGAAGATTCCAATTCAGTAATTTTATGGAAGAAAAAACTAAGGCCCAGAAATATGAGGTGATTCCCCAAGATATGTGATCCATCTGTTATTCGCTGGCCTCTGAGGAAATGCACGGTTCACTGGCCTCTGCAGCTTCAAACTCAGCTAGTTTTGCGCTGGAGGAGTGCCTCCCACAGTCCCTAGAGAAATGCCCTCAGATACAGTAGGAGGCTCGAGGGCAGCCAAGTCAAATGCTAATAGAGATGGGGAAAGGGCACAACCACGAAAGCAACCCTGCGGGCTGCATACTATATGGACGTTGTTGTTCATTCTTGACTCTTGGTTACCCCATTTGGGGTTTTCTTGGCAAAGATACTAAAGTAGTTTGCCATTTCCTTCTCCAGTGTGTCCCCATTTTACAGGTGAGGAACTGAGACACATAGGGGTCAAGTGACTTCCCCAGGGTCACACAGCAAATAAGAGTCTGAAGTTTCATTTAAACTCAGGTCTTCCTGACTCCATGCCCCATGCTCTATCCACTGTACCACCTAGCTGCCCTTGCATATTGATTTATAAAATGACATTTTAATATTATCTATGTATTATTGTATTTTTATTCATTTTGCTAAATATTTCCCAATCACATTTTAATCTGATTCTGCCACACTTACTGTGTATGACACCTTTTTTTTTTTTTTTACTTTTGCAAATGGATATTTACTTCAAAGATATCACAAAATACACACCAACATATTGCCCTCACACTTCTTGGGTATATTGTCTCCTAATATCTTTTCAGTCTCTGGGAGACCAGGCTCAAAATTTTAGTTCAGTTCCTATATAGCATTGGTCTTATTGTGTTCATGTGCAAATGTGGCTTGACTGTACCCCATGGACCATAGCACTCCAGGCTCTTCTATCTTCCACTATCTCAAAGTCTGTCCAAGTTCAAGTTCATTGTTTCTATGACACTATCTAGCCGTGTCATTTTTGGCTATCCCATTTTCCTTTTGTCTTCAATCTTTCCCAACATCAGAGTCTTTTCCAATGAGTCCTGGATACCTCTGTTCTTGAGGTCTGCTCTAACAAGGGTTACTAAATACCCTTAAGATGCTCCAGTCTGAAGGTAACCAAAGGCTGGACTGAACCTGATGCCCATTTGCCCAGCCCACAGCTGTGTCCTTGGGGCTGGGTCAGAACCATCCAGCTGCCTCTCTTGACCATGGCACTGACCAATTTCAAGGCCACTCATCCTACAAGCCATTCTGTTTTGATTCTGTGACTGGCTTTCCTGTGGGCTGTTTCACAACTAACAACCATAAAGAGACTCCTTTTCTCCCTGTGCTGAGGTTAGAAAAGCTACCCTTATCTAGAACTAGTGCCACTAGTGTTTATCATGGCAGAGAAAAACCAAGGGTTGCTGCTGTTTGCCCTCAAAGGGTTCCTTTACCTTGCCAGAAGTGTCACGATGCAATGAAAAGGTCACTAGGTTTGGAGTCAGGAAATCTGTGCCCTAGTCCCAGCTCTGCTATTAACCCCAGGACTGATCTCTGACAAGTCACTTTACCACTCTGGGCCTCAGTTTCCCCATATGTAAAAAAATGAAGAGATTATTTTCAGTTCCAATATCTTCTGTTCTAAGCTCCCTTCTGGCTCTAATATTCTAAACTCCAAGGTTCTTTCCAGCTTAAATATCCTTTGTTTCAAGGTTCCTTCTAGTTCTAACATTCTAAGTTCTAGCATTCTTTGTTTTAAGACTCTTTCCATCTCCAACGATCTTTGTTCTAAAGTCCCTTTCCACCCCCCTACCCTTTGTTCTAAGATCCACCTTCCAGCTCTAACATTTTGCCTTTTAAGGTCCTCTCCAGACTAATATTCTGTTTTAGGTCCCTTCCAGTTTTAATCATCTAAATTCTAGCATTCATTGGTCTAAGGATCCTTCCAGCTCCAATAATCTATCTTCTAACATGCTGTGTTCTAAGATCCCTTCTAACCCTAACTTTCTATGATTCTGCAGGTTACTGTGGAACCATGTTGCTACTGGGATTGCTTTTTCTAAGGATACTGGGGATCTGAGATGATAAATACCATTGTCTTTCTAACAGTTGGCTAAGGCTAAATTAAAACCCATTAAAATATTTACGGGATACCTTTCATAAATCTGCTATGATTAAGGTGCCACAGCAGATCCAAAAAGTACTAGAAAATACCATTTCTACCCTCTGAGAGCTTACCAGTCCAGTAGGAAAAAGACAAGGGAAGATATCCTAGGAGTCAGATATGTGCTATTGACAATAAATGCTACAGCAAGCAATTCCAAGGAAAGATAATGATCTGGAGTAATCAACAGAAGGCTTCCTGGAGGAGGAGGATTTGTAGGGATCTTGTATGAATTTATTTACAAGTCTCCCTGCTAGAACATAAGCTCCTAGTAGACCAGGGCTGTTCTTGCCTTTCTTTGTATCCTCAGCACTTGGCATGGTGCCTGGGACATAGTAAGTCCTTGATAAATGTGTGTGGACTGCCTAGATTGGTTAAGACAACACACAATGCCATTGTCTACCCCTACCATTGTCCAAGTCTTTCTGAAGATGCCCATCAAAGTTCTGACAATCGTGTAGCCCTGGGCAAGTCACTTAA